CACACACACACACACACACACACACACACACACACACACACACACACACACACACACACACACACACACACACACACACACACACACACCCTCACTCGCTCATAACGCTGGATGGTAGCTCACACTAACCTATCGAGTGAGAGGCAGACCAGTCTATAAATATTAAATGCTACTGGTCTGGCCTCTCCTAAGTCCTACCGGCCTAAATGTTTGGCCCAGAATGAATGGCCTGGAAATCAATCAGGCCGTACAGTTGGATCAAATCCGACGGTCCAAGTGTGGCCTGGAAAAAAAAGGAGGCCAGGGCCTGAACCGTTACTGGTACCAGGGCCTGGGCCTAAAACGGCACTTTTTCTGGCCTGAACTGACACAGGCCCTACTTCTGGTGCCCAGAACTAATGCGCCAGGCCGAAGCTAAGTCCCTACCCCTTTCTACTTACCTGACGGGTCCTGCTGGGCCCGTGTGGGGATCTACGTCTGCCACATCAAGCTAAGCTGTGCCCTAAATCCCATTATACACACTGAAGGGTAACCCATCGAAATAGCCAATGAACTTGGTGGATGTGGTGGATTTGCTAGCCTTGCTAAGTGCACTGTGGTGGGGAAAAACAAAGTAGTGGTGCATTACGACAGCTTATGAAATCTGGTGGGGACCGTAGGGTTCCATTTGCTGATCTCTGCAAGGCTAGGGACTATTGTTGGTAATGATCGTGCGGACATCTGACATACATTCTTTTGTCATGTGCTTATTGCAAGGCTGTTGCAGATCAATGCGACCAAAGTACGAAGGGGAAGCCAGGAGGTGTAAAGCTGAAGATCAGCGAGGACTATGGAAAGACCTTCACTGATGCTTGCTTCCCAGAGCCATTGACTGAAAGGGGTTATAGTGTTGTGCATGTGCACAATTCCTCGGTATTTGTAAATGTCGACTACAGTGAAAATGTGCAAGGCACACACTTTGGCAGTATGTATGTATCTGATAGCAATTTCACTCTCTTCAGTCTGAGTATGAGAAGAACAGCAAGATCGAGTGGCAGTGCAGTGGATTTTTCAAGTATTCAGGTGAGAGAGCCTCTGCCTAGCCTTCCTGTTTCAGCCTCTGTATATTCACAAGCATATATATGCATATAGGGTTCAGCCTCCTGATGAGTCGGTGAAACTCCGACGAAACAGTTTGTCACAGCCGCTCGCTTGTTGTCCCCTTCTCCCTCTCAGCTAGGTCTTCCATGTGTTCATCCACCTCATGCTTACAATGTATGTCTTCTCTGTCGTCAAGGACAGAAGGGGGATTTCTCATTGGTCTTGCTGGTGTACATCTTCTTGTTCTTGTTCTTGTTCTTCTTTCTTCTTCTTCTTTCTTCTTCTTCTTCTTCTTTTTCTGTTTTTTCTTCTTCTTCTTCTTCTTCTTCTTCTTCTTCTTCTTCTTCTTCTTCCTTTTCGTCTTCTTCTTCTTCGTCTTCTTCTTCTTCGTCTTCTTCTTCTTCTTCTTCTTCTTCTTCTTCTTTCTCTCTTCTTTGGTCTCTCTCTCTTTGCAAGTGCTTTCATTTCTTTCGCAATTGGGTGGCATTGTCTTTCATTGTGAATTTGCACTTTGGGAATGACCA